AATCACCTGTGAATCTTTGAGACATTTGAGGATGTCCAGAACAGAATTGTGTCAGGCTGATAAGAGTGGTTAATTCTACTTCTGTCCCAGTGTGAGAGAAATGAGTCATCTTGTGTTTGTTTCTCCCCTTACACAAGAAGTATCTTTGGTTGGTACCCAGATGAGAGTTTTTCCAGTTCCCTGGTACTTGGGTAAAAAATCAGGAGGTCTGGAGGCTCAAACAGATAAACTAATTGTTTCCATTTTATATAGTCATAAAAAAATAGATGAAAAAGGCTGGGTGCAGTGGCTCATACCTGTAATCCCAGCACTTTGGGAAGCCAAGACGGGTGGATCACCTGAGGTCAGGAAATTCTAGACCAGCCTGGCCAGCATGGTGAAATCCCATCTCTGGTAAAAATACCAAAATTATCCGGGTGTGGTGGCTCATGCCTGTTGTCCGGGCTACTTGGGAGGCTGAGACAGGAGAATCTATTGAACCTGGGAGGAGGAGGCTGCAGTGAGTCAAGATCACATCATTGCACTCCAGCCTGGGCAAAAAAGTGAGACTCAGTCTCAGAAAAAGAAAAAAAAAAATTTAAGAAAGACAGAAAAAAGAGGAAAAATAGATGAAGCAGTCATGATTCCTACCATCCTGGCAGTTTTAGTCTAGAATAGCAACTGGAAAAGTGGTTGAATTATGCATCAGATGGTGGGTACAATAAATAGATATGTACAAAAAACTTGGGCTTTATTTGAGCCACTTTCTTTATATTGTGGTTTCTGATGTCTACACCTGAACTTATAAACAGAAGAGTCGTTATTATTATTTGTATTTCTTTTACCCTGCTAAGAATACTTATTTTTCGGGCCGGGCGCGGTGGCTCAAGCCTGTAATCCCAGCACTTTGGGAGGCCGAGACGGGCGGATCACGAGGTCAGGAGGTCCAGACCATCCTGGCTAACACGGTGAAACCCCGTTTCTACTAAAAAATACAGAAAACTAGCCGGGCGAGGTGGACGGCGTCTGTAGTCCCAGCTACTTGGGAAGCTGAGACAGGAGAATGGCGTAAACCCAGGAGGCGGAGCTTGCAGTAAGCTGAGATCCGGCCACTGCACTCCAGCCTGGGTGAATACTTATTTTTCTTCTAAAAAAAATTATTCTAGAAAACCTTAAGCGATGTTTTTTTTGAACTGCCTATTAGCATATTAGTATTAGTGTAAGTATATTATATATAAAATTTACAGGGCAGTGGCTAAAAAAGATTAAAATTATACAAACTCAGATTTAAGTTTACTTAAGTAAGCTTTAAAAAAAAGAACTGACAATACCCCCCAGTGGCATAGAGAACAGAATTGTACATCGGCTCTACACTCTGCCCCAGCCTTATTGATATTCACCCTTTTTGGAGTCCTTATTTATGTCTGGCTCTACCCTGGAGTCTTGCCTCAAAGAACTGATTAGAAGAGATCAGAGTTTTGGGTCATGAATCCTGTTGCCTTTTTAGAGCTGGTGCTCAATATTTTCTGAAACTTAAAAACAGATAAATGGGAAATATAAAGTATGCATTATAGGATCTTACTTTTCAAATTTTTTATTAAAACAAGAGCTTGCAGAGACATTATTTAGCAGCTTGTTTTCTGTTCCTACAGATCTAGTAGTTGATTCACAAGTCACAAGAAAGTAAATATAAACACAATAAAAATTTATCTAAATTTTATTAAACTCTTTCCATCTGTATCCCTTTCATCTGTGTATATTTAGCTTTTATTCTATGCATTTTTTGAAAAAAATCAGTGACAGATCAACAGAAATAGAAATAAAAATGCTGGGTCCTTTAAAGCCTTGGAATTATTGAACACTTAGTATCAACTCACAGGGTGTTATTAGGATTAAACCACATAATGTGCTATCACAGTGCTCTGTAACATCCTATTGAGCCCATAGTACCTGCTTAATAAAGACTGCATTAGTACATGTGCACATGTTCTCCAAATGCAGACTTACTCAGAAATTGCTTTTTATTTCTCTGTAAACTTTAAAGAGACAGCAAAGAATATAATACTTTAGGATGAAGAATGATTGTTTTCATTTGTACCAGAAGTATTTGTGTTGTGACAAGAGTGCTGCGTGTAAGGGACTCTGTTGTGCCTCATTTCTCTAACTAATGCTAATAATAAGCCCAGGGGGAGCAACATCATGATTGACAGGGCACTTGTTTAAAAGACCCGTTTATGGACCCTTTCCATACCTCAGAATTACGTTTCATAGAGTGGGACCAAAATTACCAAGTGATTTTATAAGCTCATTAGAGCTTGAGAGGAAATGCTTAATTAAGGGGTTATCAGCTCAGGCTTCTAATTAGTATCACCTGGTCATTTTGCAGAACTCTTTTTACTTGTGCCCTGTCCATGGATTCTGTTTATTGTTCAGGTGGAAGCATCCATGTTGTTGTAATTAAGTGGCTCATGTGACTCTGAGGTGAGGCCAGAATCAAGTATGAGGAATTCAAAATACATTCATGAGAGTTAAGTTCCATCTTTGCATTAAAGGGTGGTCCAAGAACCTATTCTGTTTGGATTTGGTAGGAACAGTACAGCATGGCCCGTATTTCCATTACTGTAGCAGAAATTGCTGGTGCCTGTGTCAGGGGATGGCTCCTGAGGACAAAATAAAGAAAAGCATATTTTTATCTCTGTGGAGCTACTCTTTGTTAGTCTTTTCTGCTATAAAGGACACAAATGGATGGAGTTTTTCTGTGTTGGTCCTTCTGCCTGTGGATGTGGTGACAGCAGGTAGACCTGTGGTGCTGACACTTTTAAAGGCATGTTCTCAAGATGCAGGTATAATTTGCCCAGAGAATTTTATCTGAGAAATAATCCTAGAGAAGGAGGAGAAAGAGAAAAAAAATGGCCTTTTCTTTTACAGCTAAACATGTCTCAGATCAAGATCTGTGTCCACTCTGCTTCCTCCAGGAAACATGCGTTTGGTACTTACAAACGTGTACTTCTGTACTTGTGTTTTTACTCCCTAATGAGTTTTTCTTAACTACTTTAAAAAATTCTTACAATAATCAAAGTCTCTGAAAAATATATATTTTTTCTATATACCAGAGCCTTCTCTATATTACGGCTTCTTATATGCCATGCAGAAATATCACTGTGAATTTATAATCTGCAATATTAAAAATGTCCTTTTGTGGCTGTTGAACATGGAAGGTGTAGATACTCCAAATTCCTATCGAGGAAAACCTGGTGTTTTTAGTGAAGACAGAGAACATGTAATGTTGAGGTTTCATCTGTGTTCTTTATTATGTCTATGCAGTACAAGATTAAGAAAACACTCATTGAAGTAGTATGGTATTTGTTACCCAGAAAATTCTTAAAAAATTGTTAGGAGATACCTGCTCTCTACAGTGCTAAAGAAAGACTACTTAAAATCACTATTAAACATTACAGCACATGGGAGATATCTCTATCTTGAACTTTCCATAAAACTAATGTTTCCTTATGGTCAAATTCACACTATAATTTACCTTTCAGGGGGCAGTATCTCAGCAGTAATGCTGTGTCCTTCTGGGTGCATCAGGACATTATAAAAGTTTGTTCTAGTGTAGTTGATAATAAATCAGTTAGTCGATAAGGTCTCTGACACATTTTTTCACTATAGAATTATTTTTCTCTTAGTTATTATTATTTTTTTGGAGACAGAGTCTCGCTCAGTCACCCAGGCTGGAGTGCAATGGCGTGATCTCTGCTCACTGCAAGCTCCGCCTCCTGGGTTCACGCCATTCTCCTGCCTCAGCCTCCCAAGTAGCTGGGACTACAGGCGCCTGCCACCTCGCCCAGCTAGTTTTTTGTATTTTTTAGTAGAGACGGGGTTTCACTGTGTTAGCCAGGATGGTCTCGATCTCCTAACGTCGTAATCCACCTGCCTCGGCCTCCCAAAGTGCTGGGATTACAGGTGTGAGCCACCGCACCTGGCCTCTCTTCATTATTAAGTATCTTTATGCAGCTGATGTGAACAAACCACCACATTTAATCTGGCAGCTGCCCTTCTTTCTTAGGTTTCCTTTGCATTTGTCTGTTTTTGGAAAATGAAGGCTCTCACCTTTGTCTACAAACCAGAAAAATTGAGAAAAACACAGGCTCATTCAATTACTGGATGTTTGACCAAATAATCTTTTTGTGCCAAAATCATTGGCATACTGATGAGCTTATTAGAAATTCAGCAACTCAGACTTTATCCTAGAACTTCTGAAAAAAAAAAAAAAAAGCTGCGTTAACAGGATCTCTACCTTATTGTACACATTAAAATTGGACTGATACCTTCTAACTTAACATGTCTATTCCATCTAAATAATATATAAAACTATGTCTTTTTCATCTGAAAAATACAATTAATTCCTTTTTTTTTTTTGAGATGGAGTTTCGCTAATGTTGCCCGAGCTGGAGTGCAATGGTGTGATCTCGGCTCACCGCAACCTCCACCTCCCGGATTCAAGTGATTCTCCTACCTCAGCCTCCCGAGTAGCTAGGATTACAGGCATATGCCACCACGACTGGCTAATTTTGTGTTTTTAGTAGAGACTTTCTCCATGTTGGTCAGGCTGGTCTCGAACTTCCAACGTCAGGTGATCTGCCCGCCTCAGCTTCCCAAAGTGCTGGGATTACAGGCATGAGCTACCATGCCCGGCACACAATTAATTCTGTATGATGTAAATACAGCACTCAAAATTGTATGTGCTAGTGTTTATTTCCCCAATTTATACTTTATTATCCAGAAAAATATTACATATACACTGTTGTTATGGATCTTATACCACTTTCTTTTGTCAGAGTTAGAGAAAACATTAGAGAATATTTCTGTGTTGAAAATTATTTTATTGAATAATTTTCATCCTGCTTATGAGTCAGAACCAGCTCTCTTTACTCTCTCCATTTTACCTTGAGTGAAATTAAAAATTCTGCCCATGACCAATTGGTAAGTATGAGTGTTTGTTTGTGTTTTCCAGGGATCTCTGACATTTAGGGATGTGGCCGTAGAATTCTCTCTGGAGGAGTGGCAATTCCTGGACACTGCACAGCAGAATTTATATAGAAATGTGATGTTAGAGAACTACAGAAACCTGGTCTTCCTGGGTGAGAATAACTTTAATACGCAATTCCTAGTATACGCTACAGGTTTCATTTTGCTGCAGACTGTATTGGACTGAACAAAGGAGGATGAACGCGAGAATAAATGCAAAGACAAAAGAGTATATTTGGAAGACGTGGTCAGGGGGCTCCTTGCTTCTAGTGAACAAGCGACCTGAGCTTCTATAGCCCTTCATATTTATGGAGTAAAGGAGAAAGGGAGCAGAAGGAGGTTGTGGTCAGCCGCTTGACTTAGTGCAGGCCTGCATGACTATTCTTTGAACAGTACTCTCCAGATGTTCCAGTAGATAACCATAAGGAGCATGGCACCAGGGGGTGACTGCCCTCAGTGTACCTTCTGGTGGCAGGAGCAGATGCGAGTTTGCCCACATTCTGCATTCATTATAAACAGTTTACTGTTTGATCATATTCCCTCCAGTGGAATGACCCTCAGAGTTTCAGCTCCTAACATTTCCCCCTTTCTGTTTATGCATTAATCGAATAAATGTAAGGCCAGGTTGGGCAGCTGTCATTTTCTGATTGCTGGTCCATCCAATTTTACAGACTATGAACAGAAAACAGAGACAGAACAGCATTACCCCAAGAACTACATATGAGATTTTAATGTGGTGCTTTAGATAGGTCCAAGGATTGAGGCTCTCCAAGCCTTTCTGGAATTCGGTCCAGTCTTCTAAAGAAGGCTGAAACTCTTGAGTTTACCGATTTAAATCAAGAATTTTGTTTTGTAATTCACCAGTGTCAAAGGTGATGTTGGATGTGAAAGTTCCCTGCAAATGGGCTCTCCCTGTTTCCCATGGATACTCAGTTTGGTTATATTCTAAGTTGGTTACACAAATATGAGTGTGATTTAAATGACAACACAATTGCTGTTGCAATTGAAGCTTTGTACTTTCACCATAGAACTGTTGAATAGAACTATGCAAAGCTACAGAGGACATCACAACAGAAGTTATTAGTGTGACCAAGGAAACAATAGCAAAAACTATTATGCCTAAGGCTCTACAGACACAATGAGTAAGTTGAGTTAGAAGAAGTTTCATGAAGTGCAGAGAGGGGGTGGCAGCCCAAGGCTCGGATAGATTAACAGGAATCCATAGCCCAGGTATTCCTCCCATAATGGGCCAAGATACGGGCTAATCCTTACTGGATATTACTGACACATCAGCTCCTGTTTCCATAAGCCCATAAAATTTCTTTCTTTTAATTTGCACTACACAGGTGGGTCTATTAGAGACTATGGGTTGTGATAGATGGGTTTCTCATGTAGTTGTGCTCCCAAACCCTTTATTTCTTCATTTCTCCTTTTGTGGAGAAGGGTGTAATTTGCAGGACATAAGCAATAATTACACTATATATTCTCCTGGTTCAAAAACCCAAAGATCTTGTGACATTAAAACTACTTGAATTTCTCCTTCATAATCAGAGTCAACTACTCCTTGGACTACAGTGATGCCTTGCAAGTTAAGGCAGCTTTTGCCTAAAATTAGTCCCATGTATGCTGCTGGTATAGGTCCCCAAATAACATTGGGTACTTTGGTAGGTTTGTCTCCTGCAACTAATGTAATTCTTTCTCTGACTGGGAGATCTAATCCAGTACTTCCTGGTGTTCTTGGGGAGAAGAAATCAATGTTTCTCCTGGGACCAACCCTTTATATGGGGTTGTGGTCTGAACTGGGAATGCCTTCATTGTTTGAGGGGCCTGGGTCCAGGGCCCCTTCTCGTTTCCCAACAGGGGGGTGTCATTCAAGCAGCACTGATTAGCCCAATGATTGCCATTGTTACACCCGAGTGATTCCCTTTGTTACAGTGAGGACAGAGTCCTGGTGTTTTTTTCTGCTCAGGGTTGGGGGCGCTGCATTGTGAGGTCCTTTCTGTCCTGAGCTCTGGTGACATCCCTTTCTGAAATGTCCAGTTTTTCCACAATTATAACATTTTTCCACTTGAAGGTTTGACTCTTGGCTCCTTTTAGATCTGTCAACTGCTAAACTAGCTATTACTTGCGCTAACATTGTAGAACAATGAAATTAAATTCCTACATTCTGACAAGCTTTAAGATAATTCCCCAAGCTTTTTGTGGATCTCACGGGAGCCATTACTCGCTTGCAATCTGCATTTGTGTTTTCATAGGTTAGAATTATGGTAAGCATTTCTGGAGCAGGGACATGAGGGATCTGATGCCACACTGCCTCTAGCAGCCATGCAATAAATTGTGCATAAGGCTTTCATGATCCCTGCGTGATATGTAGAAAGACTGCACTGGAACTCCCTCTTCAGGAATTGTTCTCCAAGTGTGCTTGGCGGCTAAGGCAGGCAGCCTCTGGGAATGTTAATTGTTGTACCAGATCTGAAAATGGGCCACTGCCTGTCATCATTTCCTCTGTAATGTTTCCTTGACCAGCGGCTTGATTCTGCCTTGCCTGGTCTGCACACATTTCTTGCCAATTTTAGCTCCATGTCAGCTGTGCACTGGTGGATAAGGAAGTGCAGCCAAATGTTTTATATGAAAGGGTGGGAGGTGCATGACACTAAACACCGATGCTAACAGCCCTATAGTGAATTAACCACACTAGCTTTTAATTCTTTTAGTAATTTAAACTGTACAGGACTGTGCTCATGTAAAAGACGTTTCGGATTGTTTGGATCAGTCCTCACAGTAATAGGAAAAGCACAAGGCTCTAAAGGCTCCCCAGCCACAGCAGCAGCATGCAAAATTATTTTGTATGGGGGTTTCTACTTCTGTTATTGCAGGGGGGTGGCAGAGACCAATTCTCTCCTGTTTCCTGCTTAGCAAGTGGCCAATTCTCCCCTTTCTTTTGCTCATTATTTTCAATAGGCATTGTCGGAGGAACAAATAATCTTTTTAATTCTTGAGACTCAGAACCTGACTCCTGTTATCTGACAGAATAAGAAGGAGACAGCGGCAGTAGGACTGTGCAAACCAAACCCCAAGCAGACAAAACGGAAGGGTCTACTTTAAGACCTTTTTGATGAGCCAATTTCAATCTGTCTCCTACTCTATTCCAGTTTTCCTCATTGATAGTGCCTGCCTGCAGAAACCATAAGTTATGCTTAATAACCTCCTGCAGAAGCTTAATGTCTGTGAATTAACTTGAGCTCCAGACTGTTTCAACAGAACTTTAAGCAACTGCATATAACGTGTTTCTTCAACAGACAAATTCTGCTCATGTTACCTTGATTCAGAAAGTTCCCATTCCCAGTATTTCTTTAGAGCACTGACCTTATATCCACTGCTGGCAGTTTTGTCCCAGGGTCCCCGTTCATCCAGTCAATTTCACTTCTGCTCCAGCAGACCTTCTTCATTCACATCCTCGAAGTCCCTGTGTGTGGATGCCACTTTGCTGCGGACCTTATTGGACTGAACAAAGGAGGACGAATGTGGGAATAAAGGCAAAGACAAAAGAGTATATTTGGGCCGGGCGCGGTGGCTCAAGCCTGTAATCCCAGCACTTTGGGAGGCCGAGACGGGCGGATCACGAGGTCAGGAGATCGAGACCATCCTGGAGCGTCACATATTTATTGAATCAAGGAGAATAAGGTGAGACAGCGGGCGAAAGGTTGTGGCTCAGCATGCTGAGCTTAGTGCAGGGGACTCCGCACTGACTTTGGGCCTTTCTGCTGTTGAGACAGTGGTCCCGTCCAGAACTCTTAGCCCACGCGGTGTGAGATAACCTCTAGAAGCATGGCAAACAGAGAGTCGCGCTGGGGCGGGCCACGCCCTTCAGACGTTAACGCGGCCGGGGGGGCTTCTGGTGGGCAGGAGCCCAGAGAGCGGAACGTTTGCTCAACATTTTGCTTTCATCCGATATAACATCTTACTGTTTGATCATATACCTCCGGAATTCTGAGTTGGGGTTCACAACCCTCC